CTCGGGCTCCAGAACACAACAGGAAAGACGTCCTGGGGACAAGGAGGGGAGGGCCGTGTAACTTTTAGGGGTATATCCTTATCTCGGGAACCAGCGCTTACCTTGGTCACCATGATAGGTGTGTGGAAGTCGCGGCCTCCACTGATGCGGAAGCCCCAGGGCGCCGGCCCCGTCACATCCACCGTCAGCGCCATGACTGAGGAAGAGAGGACCAGGAGGTAGAGTCTATCCCCCCAACCCACAGGACACAAAACCAAGAAGAGCTGGGACAGGTGCCAGAGGTTGGGGGTCAGGAGCTCCTGGCAGGGGCTGGGGGAGGGGTTGGGGGTGGGGCAGAGGAAGTGACTTCAGTTCCTCCCCTCACCCCTGAGTTTCACTTCTCTTCACCCTAGGAAGCTCAGATTCTGACTTCCTCCCTCTCTGGTCTGATCTTTAGCCCAGCACTTTAGCCCTGTTGCCTGTCAGCCAGAGGCCGGCTGGCATTGGGTGGGCAGAGGCTGGCAGGTGATCGGAGACCCCAGCACTTTCTCCCCCTCCCTTCCTCCACCACCAGTGCTTGCTTCCGGTCCCCCCAAACCCACAGCACACAACACTTCCTCTCCACTCTGGGGGAGAGCCAGATGGCAGGCTGGGGAGAATGGGAGTCTTCTGAAGAGAAGAGAAACAAGGAGTAGGGTGAGCCCACCAGCTTACGCAAGAATTTGGCCCGATGGAAGGGTTCGCTGAAATCAAGGGGGGGGGGGGGTGCAGGCCACCTGCCCAACGCCTGACAATAGTATTTAGATGGGCAAGGTCCCCCTTCCCACTTTCCCCAGTGACTTGCTGCCCTCTGAGCAGCCCTGGCAAAGAGGTTCGGCTCTCCGGCCCAGCAGGGCACACCCACCCCCCACCCCCGTGCGGCCAGCGCCGCTGGCTGACCAATGCTAGCTGACCAATGCACCCTCGGGCAGAGAGGGCCTGCGCCTCCCACGGGGCCGGGGAGTGTCCTGCGGCCCAGACCCTCCTAGGATTTCCTCTAGGTCTGGAGCCAGGAGCCAACCCAGGCAGGAAGCTGCCATGCCAAGCTGGGCGCCACCTAGCCCAGCACCCATCCCAGAAAGGAGGTCCAAGGACGGCAGAGGTTCGGCCCCATCTCGGGGCGCGGCGAGGAGCAGCTCCCGTCTGCTATACGGTGTTGTCCTTCCGCCCAGGCGCGGTCCCTGTCCCCTCCCAGGTCCCCAGGCCCCCGGAGTTGATCCCTGGAACTCCACAAGCGCCCTGGGATTCCCAGACCTTTGAGCCGGCTGGTGGACTCCGTCCACGCTGGGTGCCGCAGGGAGGTGCCCAGCCCGTTAGCCCGGCTCTCCCGGTTCTAGAGCTTTCTTCCCACCAAGGCCACAGTACCCCCGCCCCGCCCCCTCCCCCCCAGGCCCCGGGGCTGGAGACGGAGCGACCGGGTCACAGGAAGCCCCGGCCCCCGGGGGCTGCGGGCGGAGGTGGGGTCCGCGCGGACGGCGTGCGGAGCGCCCGGGGGCCGCGCGGAGAGGGTGCGCAGGTGGGCGCGCGCTCACCTGTCCGGCGGGGCGGCCGGGCCGCGAGGGGAGGGAAGGAGGGAAGGACGACCCGGAGGGAGAGGCTCCACCAGGCTCCCGCCGCCGCCGCCGCCGCCGCCCGCCGTCTGCCCGACTCTGGGGAGAGCCCGCCCGGGGCTCCGGGACCGGCCTCCGCCCATGTGATCCCAGGGCCGCCCCTGCCGCCGCCCCTGGCCCGGGAAGCCGCCTCCTCCGCGCGCCCGAGCCCCGGCAGGGTGCTGCCACCTGGCCCGCGCCCCCGCGGGGGGCGATGGGGAGGACCGCGCGTCCCGCGCGCCGGCGCCAGGCGCCCATCCGCGGTGCCCGCCTACCCCCCGGGCCGCCCGGCAGCCGCCCCAGCCCCGTCTGCGGCCGGACCGGCTTCTCCACCCACCCCAGACTTGGCGGCTGGCGCAGATGCGGTCCGGACACCCACAGATGCCCGGCCAGAGCCACCCTCCGCCCTCCCCCGCTCCCTTCCCGCACCCGCAGCCCCGACGCCTGGCGCGCGGCAGCCACCGCGGGGAGTCCCTGCCCGAGGACGCCGATGCCCCGCAGACCCGCTCAGCTGCTCAGGGCTGGTGGTCAGGACTGGGGGGAGATGGAGACGCCGGGCATGGGGATCCCCCACCCCGGTCTGCCTAGAGTGGGCAAACCCCATCCACCACCAGGGCCTTGCTCCGCTCTCCACTCCTGCCGGATACCTGGAACCCAGGGTCAGGGATGCCGACAGCCACCCAGGGGACCCCGGTGCCAGTCAACGGCAAGAGGAGCCACCTGGCCAATGGCTCCCCCCCCCCAACAGAGCCATACCTGGCAACCCTCACCCTGGGGAAACTCGGGGCCCACGCAGCTGCCTCCTGGGTCTTCCCTTGGCCTGGAGGATTTGGCTCTCTGGGGAGCACACCTGTGGGCACAGCTGTAACCTGCCCGCCTCAGGTGTGAGTCATTCTCTCCGCGTTGCCTCAGTGAGGATTGCCCTCCTCACCCTCCATCACCCAGGGGCGCCCACAGACACCCTCCCCGCAGTCCGGTCCAGCCACCTTGGAGGCCACCTCCCACAGCCTCCGCCTGGGTGTAAACCACTCTCCCGCTGGCCTCCCTCCTCCACCTCCCAGACGCACCTGCTCTACCTCCCTAGCTGGTTAGAAGCCCTCTGTGGTTCAGTGCTAAGGGTGGCACCTGGGCCTTAGCCATGTGTGAAGTACTTACTCCACCATTGAGGGCTGCTCCTCCCCTCCCCCCCTTCCCTGAAACTCCTTGGGGTCACATGGGCCTTAAGTGCCACATTTGCCTTTTACTGTGACCTTAGGCAGTTTGCTCCCTGAGCCTCAGTTACCCCAGGTAATAAGGAATGGCTCATCCTTCCATTGTGTAGATTGCTTTCACATAGGCAAAGTCCAAGGATTGCCAAGAGGTAGGAGGAAGAGCCGGGGAGGGAAGGCCGAGGAAGGGGAAACTTGTCTATTTGACTCATCTACTGAATAATTCAAACAACATTCCTTCATCCCGTGTGTAGTGCGTGCTGCATCAGGCAGTCCTGAGGGGCTTTAAACTCTGTGAACATCTACACATCACAAACCCCATCAGGAAGACAAGTCAGCTGGCCAAAGGGCATGGCTCTGTCACACAGAAGGTTCCAGTGCTACTCAAGAGTCTCTGTGGTGTGGTCCAAGCCAGTCCCCTCATGTGATGAGTGAGCCATCCCCAGCAGCCTCTGAACCCCTCTTTCCCCTGCCCACCCCCCAGGTCGAGGCACTGAAGTGGTCAGCTTGCAGCCTCGCCAGTGGCAGGCGGCCAGGTAGAAGGTTTACGAGCTGCAAGTAACGCTTCAGGGCTCCATCAAAGAGAGAGTGTGGGTTTGGGTTTGTTTTTTTCCCCCCCCAAAGAAACTAGTCTCAAGTCTGATATGTTTCATGCTGGCATCAGGGAATGCAAACAGAGCCCAGCTAGGGAATCAAGGGCAGGACCCTGGTGGGGTCCTGTGGTGTACGCCATTCTGGCTGAGGATGGGCTGGACCTACCGAATGAGCACTGAGGACATGGTGAGCCTGGGTGGAGGGAATGGATGAAGGACGTGTAGGTCTTGTTCTGCAAGCTGTTGTTTAACCACTGCTGGACGGAGGCTCCACCCAGGCTTAAGGAAGCAGCTAGGGTCAGGCCACGGGCCCAGGGGCTCAGGCCCTTCCCTGTCTTGATGGAACTGGAAACCACTACCCTTCTGGCAGCCACCGGCCCTCCCCTCCTGCCTGGTGTGTGTGTGTGTGTGTGTGTGTGTGTGTGTGTGTGTGTATTGGGTGGGGGGTTCCCTCAAGTGACAAGCCAAGACAGCACTGCCAAGAAGAATATAGACACAGCCCAACCCTGAGCCACTCCAGGCAATTCTGGACCTCCTGTGTGACCCTCCTCCTCCAGGGGCCTCTAAACGGGACAGCCTGAGCACTTGGTAGATTTTGTGAGTGAGGTAGACTGACTTGAGCCTTGACTAGAGATGTAACACAAAGTTCTCAGAGCCTGTTGTATAAAAAGGTTGTGAGGCTCACATGAGACAGCGTATGCGTTAACACGCAGCTCTGCACTCAGCTTGAAGCAGCAGCCCAAGAGTGGAGCTTTCCCTTTTTTGGAGGGGTTGGGCTATGCTATTGCTCATCTCCTCTAGAAGCCACCAAACCCCAGGACTCTAAAACTGAGCTAAAAGCCAGTAACCAGTGTCTTATGCTTGTAATTCTAGCCACCAGGAGGCTGAGATCAGGAGGCTGAGTTCTACGCCAGTCTGGGCAGAATCACCCAGAAGACTCTTATCTGCAGTTAACCACCAAAAAGCCAGAAGTGGTGCTGTGGTTCAAAGAGTAAGCACATCAGCCTTGAGTGAAAAAGGGACAGAGCCCAGGTCCTGAGTTCAAGCCCTATACTGGCAGGTATATGCACGTGTGCGTGCGCGCGTGTGCGTACACACACACACACACACACACACACACACACACACACACCCCAAAACAAAACTTGAACTAGAATAGTTGTTTTGGCCAGCTCTGTCCCACCACTCCCAATTGCCTGACAACAATCGATTGCTCAAAAACTTGAGCCCAAAGAAGCAAATAAACACACAAAAGCTTCGGTGTGGCAATGGAACACACAGAAGGAAAACATTAGTTGAAGAGTTATAAATGCCATCCAGTCCAGCAAGCCCATAGTGACAGCCCCAGAATCAAAACTGCCTATAAACGAGGCCACATTCCATCTCTAGCTCTACTTTGGGGGCTGTCCCAGGCTGCCTGATACCCCTGGGCTGAGATCTTAGTTAACAATGGAGCTTTTCCAGTCTCCTTCATATACCTGTTCAACCTGCCTCCTTGCACACGGCTGAATGAATTCTCCTACAATCCTATGTGTCTCTCCCAAAGGAAAAGAACTTGGATGCAAGGTCCTTGGTATTCAGATTTATTTTACATTCCCTTCCAGAAGGAACCGGGACACTGGGGAGGGCTGGGGAACTGGCGGGGGAGGGGCTGGGGGGGACAAGCAGGTTTGCCTGTAAATAGTGGGGCTAAGCCAGCAGAGCTCGCACAGCAGCAGAACCCAGGGCTCAGCAGCCTCTGAGAGGGGAAGCCTTGAGGCAAAACCTCTTGCTAGGCCTGGAAGGCTGAGGAGGTACAGCCTCTGTCCCCCAACTTGCTCCTAGGCCCAGATGGAGTCCAGAAGGCAAAGGGGAAACAGGCAAGCTGGCAAAATGGGGGGAGCTCTGTAGACCCCCAGAAGGCCTTTGGTCTCTGCCAGGGTAAGGAACTGGTCCTTGTTAGTGGAACCCCATGGGGGTGAAGCTGGGAGCCGGTCCCTGTTAGGGGAAATGTTGGGGGAGGGCGCAAGAGGGGACTCAGACTCAGGGGTCTGGTCTCAATAAGGCCTGGAGTCAGTTTCCACTTCAAAGCAGACGTCTGTATTTGGGGGGGGGGGGGATAAAGAGGCTGTCAGAGGAATGCCTGTGAGTTGTGGTGGGAATCAGTCCAGGAGGCTTCGAGGGGCTCCAAGAAAAGGCTGCTGGGGTCTCTGCAGATGCTGGGAATGTAGGTCCTGGGAAGGAGGATGTGGGGGAGCCTCGCTCCCTCTTACAAGTGCTACTACTCCCCACCCCAACCATGCTGGCTCCAAGGTGCCCTGAAGATGGATCACTCACACTGGGGCTACATAATTTCCAGGGAATGTCCCAAATTTCTGGGTTCTTCGGGAGACACCTGAAAGAGGAAATAAAGAACATTCCATGAAGCCCTGCTTCATGCTAAGGGGCAAGGTTGTCTCCTCCTGCTGGCAGTCTCCAGAATTGCATTTGGAGTCCTCTTCCTAGGAAGGAGGGGGTACTTCATTTCCTGTCTTCATTCCTGCCCCCTAGTGGCAGAAACTTAGATAGGCAGAGTTGCATTCACAAATTGCATAATCAACACTTCGGTAGCAATCAACACCTGCATACTCCATACACTGGACTGAATAACTCCACCCTTCTCCACAAAAGCCAGGAAGCAAGAGGATGAATCACAGAATTACATAGGGAGGAGCCTTCATTTCAGAGATGGTTGGGTAAGGTCCAAGACAAGGAAAGCCTAGTCTACTGCTGGAACCACTGGGCTGCTTATGGGTGCAGTGAAGGCTACAATTCAAGCTTCTGATCTGCTGTGACCCTCCCAAGGAGGCCTGAGTTATGGGGCAAAGGATAGAGAATGCTAGGATTGCAGGAGAATGAAATGAAATCCTGACTTTGCCCAGGGCCTTCCTCCTGAGCTGCCATTCTGACTTCTTGCCCACCCACAGATGCTCATGTCCCGCCTGAGAGAACCTATCTTCCTCATCATCTCCCCACCCCAAGTGTTCCCCTGACCTTCCATGCCCAGCCCCATCACCACCACCCCCAGGAGCCTTTCCCTGACCCCGCACCTCCCAAACCCAACAACCACTAGCCACATGGGTGATGAACATTTGAAATGTGGGCTCCAATGCCTGCTTGTTGGGTAGTAGGGCTTCTGGCTGTTCAAGTGCCTCTTGGCTTATCTTTGAAGCTCAGGGCTGGTCAGGGCCTGTCAACTCAGAAGACAGGGTTGTGGTACGAAACCTGGTGGCTGGGTCACCTAGAAACCAGCCTAAGGTTTCCTATGTTGGTCTTTTGCCTGCACTGCAAGGGCTTGTGCTAAAAAGTCTTCCTCTGCTCCTCTTGCAGGCTGGAGGCGCGGCTGGTAAGACAGACACCTTGTGAGGCAGGGCCTTTTCCACCTGAGTCTTTTGTCCCAGGAGGCAGGAAGGAGCAAAGTTCTTGGGGTCAGGAACTCTGCCTGAGTCCATGACTCCATCTATGACGCTGGACTTGGCCAGTGTCCACCGGCCACGCCCCTCTCTTCAGGGTATGAAGGAAAGGTGACTAACAGACAAGCTGGCTTCAGAACTGTACCCAGTGCCTGGCCTGCCCGGCAGTCAGGACAGAGGCTGGTGCACAGTAGTCAGGCCATGTTGAGCCAGCAACCCCTCACCCCCCATTCCCAGGCCTTCATACCCACAAACCAGCCATCGTCACACTGTTGCATGACGTCTACCCGGTCCCCCTCACGCAGTTCCAGCTCGTCCTCATTCTGGGGCCTGTACTGGTACATGGCCCGGTACCTGTGGGAGGAGACACCATGGGAGCCGGACACCTCAGCCCTCTCCCAGGCCTTGGAAGAAATGCCACATCCTGTGCCTTGTCCCTGGTGCCCCATGCCCTCCTCCCGGGACCCCAGACCCCGGACCCCCAACTGCCCAGGCTTTGCAGAGACAAGCAGCTCCTGATGGGCGTTTCCACTTCTAGATGGTTTAGGATGGGCTCCCGGAGGTGCACTCAGCTCTGTGACACCCCAACCCCAACCAAGCCTGCCCAATGTACTCACGGGGTCCAGTGTATCTGTGAGGTGCTGGAAGAGGAGACCCCAAGATCTAGAGGCCGGCTGGGGCTTCGAGGGCGGGACTGGGCTGTCCCAGAAGGGCCAACACTCTGGGGGGGTCACAGGGAGGAGGCCGTGAGGGGGACAAGTGAACAGCCATTTTACCGGCCAGCACTCCCACACACTCTTTGATCTTAGTTCCCAGGGTGTCCCCCAGACCCAGGAGGAGCCCCTGTTGAGGGGGCTGGGGCAGGATGGGCACACTGGGGTTTTACACAGCCCCCCACGACTCTGGGGGCGGCTGGGATGGACCCCAGGACGGGGTTGGGGGGAGGGCAGGGCGCCTCACCTGTGTCTGGGGTCTGGGCTCCGGCGCAGGGTAGGAGAAGCCGCTGCGGCGGGGGGAGGTCCGGCCCCCCCAGTCGGTGGGGTCTGTGGGGCTGCGGGGCGCCGATGGGGAGCCGGGGCGGCGGGCCTTGCGGGCAGCGGCTGCGGTCAGGCGGGGAGACCCGGGGAGCTGGGGGCCGCCGTCGTCGCAGAAGCGGAGCCGGGGCTCACGGTTCACCTGCACGTAGCTGGCGGGGAAGATGCCCTGGCGGCCGGTGCCCGTGATGCGCCCCTCGTACCAGTTCTCGTTCACCTTGCGGATCAGGCAGATGCGCTCCCCCTGGGGACGGGAGGGAGGCTGTCCTGGGGCCCCACGGGGCCCCCCGCGTGTCCGCAGCCACCCCGCACGCCCACGGAGCGCGCAGGCCAGCCCAGGTCACACAGCTGGAAGGTGAAGTCAGGAGCCAGGGCAGCCCTGAGTTCAAATCCAGGCCTGCCTCTTTGGGAAGCCCACCTGACATGGCTGCCCGCCTCTGTAGGGCTGGTTACACACAGGCAAACCCGCTGGGCCGAGGCCAAGCCCTGCGGCTTTGGGTAATCTGCTCTGCCTCTCTGAGCCTGGTTCCCTCAAGCCGTTAAGGGGAGAGACCCATGAGGCTGCTGTGAATGCAAGTGAGGTGGGTGGCGGGCCTGGAAGAAGCACTGGACAGGGCCACCGGGTCCCGACCTCCCGTTACTGATCCCGAGGAAGGCTGGGCGCTGAGTGACCACCATCTTGGCAGCTGCCCAGGAGGAGGCTCCTAGCCCAGGCCTCTCCCACCCTCTCCAGATCACCCCCATCTAGCCACCTCCTTGCCTCTCTGTCCCTGTGAGCAGCCCCTGCCTGGCACTCCCCAAAAGCAACCAATCTGAGGCCAGTTCCTTGCCTTCTTTTCCCAAAAGATTTTTTTTCACCTTATCTATAGTAAAAAAAATTACGTTTTAAGCCAGTGCCGGTGGCTCACACCTGTTATCCCAGCTATTCAGAAGGCTGAGATCTGAGGATTGTGGTTCCAAAGCCATTCCAGGCAGGAAAGACTGTGAGATTCTTATTTCTAAATACTCACAGAAAAAGCCAGAGTAGTATTGTGGCTCAATGGGTAGGGCACTAGAGTTGAGCAAAAAGGGGCTCAGGGATAGCACTCAAGCCTAGGGTTCAAGCCCCAGGACCAGCAAAAATAAAAATTAAAAAAAAATTATGTTCTGGTGGAACTGTGGCTCAAAGTGGTACAGCATTAGCTTTGAGCCAAAAAAATCCTCAGAGACAGTGCCCAAGCCCTGAGTTCAAGCCCCAAGACCTGACCAATAATAATAATAATTATTATTATTATGTTCTAATAACAGCCAAGAACCAAGCCCGGGTGGTTCATGCCTATAATCATCGCTACTCAGGAGGCTAAGACCTGACAATCAAGCTTAGAGCCAGCCCAGGCAGACAAATCCAAGCGACTCTTCAATTAACCAGCAAAATGTTAGAAATGGAATTGTGGCTCAAGTGGTAGAGAGCTAGGCTCCAGCAGAAAAGCTAAAGAATAGTGTAAGACCTTGTGTTTAAAAAAAAAAAAATGCAGGTTAGCTAGGTGCCGTTGGCTCACGCCTGTAATCCTAGCTACTCAGGAGGCTGAGATCTGAGGATCATGGTTCAAAGCCAGCCTGGGCAGGAAAAGTCCGTGAGACTCTTATCTCAATAAACCACCAGAAAACCAGAAATAGTGCTGTGGCTCAAGTGGTAGAGCCTTCACTTGAGCTGAAGAGCTGAGGGACAGCGCCCAGGCCCAGAGTTCAAGCCCCACGACCGACAGAAAAAAAAAAGCAGGTTATGCCCCTCAGAGTCTACCTTCCTGTAGATGGTAAAAACAGCTTTTAAAAATGGGTACAGGGGGCTGGGAATGCGGCTTAGTGGTAGAGTGCTTGCCTAGCATGCATGAAGCCCTGGGTTTGATTCCTCAGTACCACATAAACAGAGAAAGCTGGAAGTAGCACTGTGGCTCAAGTGGTAGAGTGCTAGCCTTGAGCAAAAGAAGCTCAGAGACAGTGCTCTGGCCCTGAGTTCAGGTCCCAGGACTGGCAAAAAATAAAATAAAGCCAGGCGCTGGTGGCTCACGCCTGTAACCCTAGCTACTCAGGAGGCTGAGATCTGAGGATCGCGGTTCAAAGCCAGCCCAGGCAGGAGAGACCTTGAGACTCCTATCTCCAATAAACCACCAGAAAACCGGAAGTGGCGCTGTAGCTCAAGTGGTAGAGCACTCGCCTTGAGCTGAAGAGCTGAGGGACAGCGCCCAGGCCCAGAGTTCAAGCCCCACGACCGACAAAAAAAATAAATAAATAAAATAAATAAAAATGGGGCTAGGCGCCAGTGGCTCACGCCTGTAATCCTAGCTACTCAGGAGGCTGAGATCTGAGGATCGCAGTTCAAAGCCAGCCCGGGCAGGAAAGACTGTGAGACTCCTATCTCCAATAAACCACTAGAAAACAAGTGGCGCTGTGGCTCAAGTGTTAGAGCGCTAGCCTTGAGCTGAAAAGCTCAGGGATAACACCCAGGCCCAGAGTTCAAGTCCCACAACCGACGAAAAAAAAATGGGTACAGAGCCAGGCACTGGTGGCTCATGCCTGTAATCTTAGCTTCTCAGGGGGCTGAAATCAGAGGATCATGGCTCAAAGCCAGCCCAAGCAGGAAAATTCTGAGACTCTTATCTCCAGTTAACCACCACAAAGACAGAAGTGGAGCTGTGGTTCCACTGGGTGCTGAGGGGCAGCACCCAGGCCCTGAGTTCAAGCCCCAAAACCAGCGCGCGCACACACACACACACACACACACACACACACACACACGCACACGCACACGCACAGGCAAGGGTACAACAAATAGGAATACTTGACTTTTTTTTAAAAACAAAGAAAAATATTGTTGCCATTTCCTGCGGCCCATTTCATACCTGACCCTATGCACCTTTATCTGCACCTGCACCTTCATCTACGTCTTCACCTGACCCCCCAGACCCGACCACCTCCTGCCTGGCCCCACCTTGCGGAAAGACAGCTCCACCTCCAGGTCTCCCTTGAAGTTGTACTGGGCCACAGCGTCTCCGTACTCCACCACCTGGTAGGTGGGGGGCTTGATGGGCTTGGGGGTCTCATCCGCAGGCAACACCTGCAGAAGAGATGCCACGTGAACAGCTCTGCCCAGGCATCAACTGGGCACACACCTGGGCTTGGGAGGGTGAAGCAATAAGACAAAATGAGTGGGCAAGAGATGGGCCTGGCCAGAGGGATGCCAGTGCCAGGCACAGCCCCAGAAATGGAAGGGAAACCACAGCAGAGCAGGGTACAGGGGTTAGTCCCAGGCGGCTTCCTGGAGGAAGAAATTTCAGCAGAGGACTGTGGAGTGGGGAATTAGATGTGCAAAGGGAAAGTCAGTCCAGTTAAATGTCAAGTTGGACCATGGAGGAAAATGAAATATTCTGAGTTGCAGGAGCCACTCTGTTCTAAAACTGAGGATTGTGTTTGAGTGTCTTGGTCCCTCTCCTCCCTTTCAACCCCCTTCAGGGGCCCCCAAATCCTAATGTTCTCTATGTTTCATCTTGCTCATAAAAACCAAGAAGCTAAGCTATTTCACACTAAAATGTCCACTGATGGACTGGACTCTTGTATATACTTTGTGAAATTTCAGCACCAAGAGATTAGACTGTGGGTAAGGGAGGTCTTAATTCAAAAGCCTTAATTAAACAATTATCTTAATGTACAGTTGAATGAAATATACAAGTTGAATAAAAAAACAAACCACATAAAAAAATCTGTGGGATGCAGCTAAAGCAGTGTCTAGAGGGAAATTCATACCATCAGATGCTTTTTTATTCTGTTTTGTTTTGGACTGTCCTGCCCAGGCTGGCTTTGAACCACGATTCCCAGATCTCAGCCTCCTGAGTAGCTAGGATTATAGGCGTGAGCCACCAGCCTGGTTTAAGGCCATGAGACTCTTTATGTAGTTTTTTTTTTTTTTTTTGTCGGTCATGGGGCTTGAACTCTGGGCCTGGGCGTTATCCCTCAGCTCTTCAACTCAAGGCGAGCGCTCTACCACTTGAGCTACAGCGCCACTTCCAAGGCCATGAGACTCTTATCTCCAATAAACCACTCAGAAAACCAGACATGGTGCTGTGGCTCAAGTGGTAGAGCTCTAGCCTTGAGTTGAAAAGCTGAGGGACAGTGCCCAGCCCAGAGTTCAAGCCCATGACCGGCAGAAAAAAAAAAAGGTGAGCCAGGCTCTGGGGATTCACATCTGTAATAGGAGCTGAGGTCTGATGATCACTGTTCAAAGCCACCTTGGGCAAGAAAGTCCTAAGATTATCTCTAGTTAACACCAAAAAACTGGAAGTGGACTTGTGGCTCAAGTGAGAGAGCACTAGTTTTGAGCAAAAAGCTCAGGGAGAGCGCCCAGACCCTAAATTCAAGCCTCCGTATGGGCACACCCACAAAAAAATGGATAATAAGAGAGAATGGTATAAACAGTGTTATGCCAATAATTGAGGCAGTTTGACATTCCTCACTCACCATCACCAAAGATCACCTGTAGATTTCTATCAAGTCTAGAACTTGCATTAGGAACCACAATCTCTGCCTTAAAGTACCACTGAAACACTGAAGAAACTCTCATTCCCCAGGTAGTGAGAGCAACAGGTATAGCGGTGAAAGAAGACAGTCATGTGTGCCTTGTGAACTGCCAAACACTTGTCCACGATTCAACTTGTCAACAAGGACAAGGATTCAGATGGCTCACCCCCAAAGACAGCTTTAGAAAGGGCTCCGTGTGGGGAATGTTTGTGACCCTGATAGCATGGTGGCTTCAGGCTGAGAAGCTAGATGATGTGATCATCTCCTGAGTCAAACTCCTCCAGGTCAAAGACATTCAGAGAGAGGTGGGGGCTGGGAATGTGGCTCAGTGGTACAGTGCTTGCCTAGCATGCATGAAGCCCTGGGTTCGATTCCTCTGTACCATATACACAGAAAAAGCCAGAAGTGGCACAGTGGCTCAAATGGTAGAGTGCTAGCCTTGAGCAAAAGAAGCTCAGGGACAGTGCCCCTGGCCCTGAGTTCAAGCCTCAGGACTGGCCAAAGAGAGAGGGGGCGGGGTGAGCCCGGACCCTCAGTGTTTTATATCTAGGAAACCAAGTCTCTCCCAGCCTGGCTGCAGCTGGCTTTCTCATCTTCCCCCACTCACCTCCACATAATTGGCGGGGAAGATGCCCATCCGGCCATAGTGCTCGCCCTCCAGCCAGTTCTTGTCCACCTCCTTATGGATGTACACAATGTCACCCTTCTGCAGAGTAAGCTCCCTGCAGACCAGAGCAAGAATGTCACAGGACGTGCAGGAAGCGGAGGCCTTCCTAACCTCTACTGCTCCAGACCCTTGCCAAGGGCATGCCCGGTCTCCTCCACCCCTCTGGGGATGCCCGCTGGAGTCCTGGGCCTCCTTCTTCCACAGAGCAGAGGAGCAGAGTGGCCCAGGGTGGAAGAGGAAGGACTGAGCAGGCCACTTACTTGGGGGACTGTGCTTGGAAGTCGAACTTGAGCCGCGCGGCCTTCCTCTGGGCAGGGGAGAGGACAGAGTGGGCCACCCCAGCCAGGCTGGGGCAGTCTGGAAGAACAGGGGTCCCCCAGGCCCTCCCTGCCCCAGGACCCTGCCCCTCCCTACCTTCTCTTCCTTCCTGACTGGGCTGCTCCCTCTTTCCCGAGCACTAGACTCTGTGGAGAAGCAACATCTCAGCCTGAGGCTGGGGTGGGGATGGGGTGATACCTTGTCCCCACGCAGGACAGATGCCACACCGCACCAGCAAGGGGCTTTAGACCTTCCTGTCTGCTATCTTCTGCAGAGTCCAGGTGAGGACAAAGATAAAACACCACAGGCTGGTCGCCAGTGGCTCACGCCTGCAAGCCTACCTACTCAGGAGGCTGAGATTTGAGGATTGCAGTTCAAAGCCATCCTGAGACTCTTAGCTCCAACCACGAAAAAAAGCCAAAAGTGGAGCTGTGGCTCAAGTGGTTGAGCACCAGCCTGGAGCAAAAAAAGCTCAGTGACAGGGATCAGGCCCGGGATTGGCACAAAAAGAAAGAAAAGAGGACTGGTCTTGGTCTTACCTCGGGCTGAAGAAGGGTAGGCAAAATCTCTACGACCCAAGAAGGGGCTTCCTCCTCCATCTGCCATTCTGTGGGGGCTCAGGGGTCGGGAGGGACCCAGATAAGGTGCATGCGGGGAGCTGGACCTCCAGGCGGTGGCGGGGCTGCAGGGGTACAGAGCGCGCGCCACCTGCATGGGGGGCTTCAGCTCCCACCCCAGACTCCCCGAGATCTTCCCGCCCCCCTCCCCGCTGCTCCCCAAGGCATCTCCTGGGTCCCGGGCTCTCCACAGGATGTCCTGCTTCCCGAGCAGCGGGGCAGGCAGGGGTGAGGCCCGCCGGCCGGGAGAGGGGAGGCGGCCCGAGCGCGCGGAGGCGCGGGTGGTGCCTCGGTGCCCGGGCTTGGGGCGGGGTGCAGCCTCCCGCCCCCCGCCCCAGGCGGGACCAGAGGGGGCCCCCGGGCCGCTTTTCCGCTCTCCGCACCCCCTTCCTCTCTCACACTCCCCCAGCTCCGGGCGCGCCCGTGCGCGGCACTCGGCCACGTCCCCTCCCGGCCGCCCGCTTCCAGTCCCGGCCCGCGCCCCGGCCCGCGCCGCCGCTCACCTGGCCGGGAGCCGCTGCTCCGGGGTCCGTCGGGGCGCCGGCGAGCTCTGTGCGGGGAGAAGGGGCGCGATCGCGGGCAGGACCGGGCCGGGCAGCCGCAGCCGCCCGCCTCCGGAAAAGTTCTGTGCCGGGGAGGGGCGGGCGGGCGGGCGGGACGCGGGGTCCTAGCGGCGCCCGGAGGAAGCGCGGGGCGGGAACGGGAGGCGGGGCGGCGGGGAAGCGGAGCCTGGCTGGAGATGGGTCCGGGGCGCGGCGGGGCGGCGGGGCGGGCCGGGCCGCGGCCCAGGCCTGACGTCAGGATTGGGCCCGGACGGTCCCCAGGGCTCCCTCGGACGCCCCGCGTTTTGTAAGGAGAGCGGGAAGGGCTGGAAGTGCGCTCGGGGTCGCCCCAAGCCGGGGGAGGGGGAGGCTGGTAGCGGGGTGGGGGGCACACGGGAGGCGACACCTTGAGGGTGGAAGCTGGTACCTTGAGGAGCGTCATGGAGGAAGAAGCTATGTTGGGGGATGCGGAGGGGGTGCTCCCCGAGATGGCTGCTTTGGGAGACGGCTGCCGGCTCTCGATGGCCCGCAGGTCCTTGTCCAGCTCCGCGCTCAGCTTGGCCAGCTCTCGCTCCAGCAGAATCTGGGGGGGGGGGGGCGATTTGGATGGGGAACAGTGCACGGGGGGTGGGGGTGGGCTGGTCAGAGGTCAGGTGTGGGCCAGGTCACACGTGCTTTGGTCAAGAGCAGGCCTGAGGGGTTGTGGGGGGCCAGGATAGGCTCTCCCGGCAAAGAAGTGGGGCTCAAGGCGGCAGCGTGGGCACCCTGCCACCTGCCTCCTACCTAGCACGCCGGGGTGCTTGGCAGTGCCATCGTGTTTTCCTACTTTTTGCCATGTGAAGGCTTTGCCTGAAGGGTTCCCTGTTTCCTCTCCAACTTCTGTGGCCCTCCGTGCCTGGCTTCACCCCTGCCCGCCCCTCCCCCCATGCTGCCCATTTCACTGTCCTGTGTGATACACACCACACGCACACACACACGCGCACACGCACACACATGCATGTACCCGTGTGCTCACTCACAGCGTCCCCCGCTCTGCTTCTTCTTCTCCCCAGAGCAGACTCCACCTGGCCAAGCTGAGCTCCACATTCAACAATTCCTTGCACTCCTACCTGTAATCCTAGCTCCAGCCTATAATCCTAGCTACTTGGGGAGGCTAAGATCTGAGAATTGAGGTTCAAAGCCAGCCCAGGCAGACAAATCAGAGACTCTTATTTCCAGTTTAACCTGCAAAAAGCTGAAGTAGACGTGAAGCTCAAGTGGTGAGGCCCAGCCTTGAGCAAACAGTTCAGGCAACAGTTCTAGGACCTGAGCTCAAGCACAGGCACAGAAAGGAAAAAGGAATTCTTGAGAGCTCCGGTGTGCACTGGCCTCTCCCTGCTTGCGTTCGGCTCAACCCATCTTAAGCATTTACCTTAAGCCAGGCACCATTCTGGGTTCCAGAGATACGAGAATCAGAGCCTTTTCCCAGGCTTTCCCCATATTCACGGGGACTCTCAGAACCCAGACCCCCCCTTTTTTTGTTTTGGTCAGTCATGGGGCCTGAACTCTGGGCCTGGGTGCTGTCCCTCAGCCCTGCAGCTCAAGGCTAGCGCTCTACCACTTGAGCCACAGCACCACTTCTGGCTTTTTTTGCTTATGTGGTGCTGAGGAATCGAAGCCAGGCCTCATGAATGCAAGGCAAGCGCTCTACCACTGAGCCACCTTCCCAGCCCTGACTCCCCGCTTTTGATCCTCCACACAGCTGTCCCACGCGCCTCTCTCACCTCGATGGGCTGGGAGCTCTTCTCCACAGGGTCATCCACCAGTGGTTTCTTGGGCTAAAAGGTGGGAAAGCAACGTGCAAGGGAATAAACACACTTTCCAAATGCTTCAGCTGAGGGGTGCATCCGCCCCCAGAAGACCTGGTGACATTCACCTTCTGCCCAGTCTCTATTTCTTGCATAAATTGGTTCCAGGAATCTTCTGTCCAAACATTCTCCACCTTCTCTCGGCGTTTGGACACCTGTATGGATGTGGGGAACCGAGGCTCTGTTCAGACTGCACACCATGGACTTGCAGCCACCCCCATGCTCTCCTGGGGAGCACTGTCTGTGCCAGCTCCGCGGAGGGGCGTAGCCAGGCAGCATGCTGGGGGGTCGCCCTCCGTGGGGAGTGTGGTCGGTGGGCTACCTGGTTTGTAGACTGGAGCCCCGAGGCTGCTCCAGCATTATAGTTTAAGGTGCTTCTAGGTGTCTCTTCAGGGTGTTCCCAGCTTCTGAAGAAAGAGAGTAACATTTCTGTTTCTAAAGGGAAACTGAGGCATGAGGGAGCACACAACCCTGGAAGAACAGCCTTCTGTCTATCCAAGCCCAATGGGTCTATGCCACCCGGCGCCTTCCTGTGGAAACTGGTATCGTGAAAGTATGCAAGAGTACAAGTTCCAACTTTACCACCTGAGTAGCTGAGAGCACTTGGGGAAAATTACATGGTGCTCTATTGAAGACCTGTCAGTGGGAGTGACTCAGTGAGGGAATGAAGGTGAAGTGCCCAGGAGAAGGTCTGGCACAAACATCAGCGCCCTGGGTGGCCAACCCTTTCCTACTGGCCTTCCTTCAGCTGAGAGTCCGGCATTGTGTTTGATGTGCTGCATGCCTGCAGCTGCTCCTCTGGTTCCATGGTCTTACACCCATGGCCAAGGATAAAGGGTTACATCTTATTTCGAGGAAACAGCCCAGAACAAGAGGCTCCTAAGGCATCTGTCCCACAGAATGTGGGCAGAGGGTGGATTTAGGGGCCACCTCGGCCACAGAGGCACTACACTGTACCATCCTGGCTGCCTTTAATGTCCCAGATGCTGATTCAAATCTGGAGATTTCTACCAGATTTCCTACATCAAGCTTAGCCAGTGATGGAATGTCTAACCAGAGGGTCAGGATTTGTTAGCTATAATTATGACCTTTCCTCTGATATTAGTAATTAAACGTGATCATGAGAATGGAATGTGTTGTTCCTAATGGGAGGAAGCTCTAGTCATAATTGGCTCTGTATTGGACTGGCTTTGTGCCAATCATGATGCAGGATGCATATATATACCTCCCGTGGTCCCCACTTATAAGACAGGGAGGGATACCTAGACTCTGATTGGTTAAATGACCCAAGATCACATGGCTACTGGCAATGAATTGGCTTGAATCCCAACTCTGAATTTTTTTTTTTTTGGTGCCTGTTCTGGGGCTTGAACTCAGGGCCTGGGTACTGTCCCTGAGCTTCTTTTGCTCAAGGCTAGCAACAGTGGCACTTCTGTTTCTGTGTATGTGGTCCTGAGGAATCAAACCCAGGGCTTCATGCTTGCTAGGCAAGCACTGTACCACTAAGCCACATTCCCAGCCAAACTCTGGGTTTTGTCTGGATCTCTTGTTTCTCTTTCATTGATAATGCCTAAGTCACAGGTCAGCAACGGCTGTGGTAGCGGGCACAAGCAGCTCATGGATATAACTTTAGAGTTCCGACATTCTCAGGGTGGGGTGCAGCCCCTCCAGGGCTCCAGATGTGTTTACAGAGGGAAGATTTTCCACGTCCCTTCTCTGTAAGATGCCTCTCTATATCTAGGCAGGAACCTGGGTTGATGGCCACAGCACCAGTCGGCTCTTAACAGTTTCTGACCCCAGTCCCCATGATGCCCCCCACACATGACCCCTAAATCCTTAAAGGGATGAAATCCTCCTGCAAACACAAATATTCATGATTTTAGTAAAAGTATGTAAAATTTTTCCAAACTAGGAAAGGCTACCTTTCTCTTTTGACGGGGCAAATCAGGAAATCTGGGGTGGTAGAGACCTGATTGGGCCCCGAGTCTGTGCCAGATGTGGCCACAAGGGGGCACCAGTCCCCCTCAGGGACATGGCAGGTGCAGCTCACCCACTAGGAGTCACTGGCTGGTGGCCAGTCCTGGAGGCAGGTCTTTGCTGGGGCCCCGGATACCTGGGCTCTGCAGAGGAGGCACAGGAGGAAATCCCTGGAGGTGGAGGAAGACAGGCACGGACAGAAGTTGGATAACCCCGTAAGGTGACAGAACCCACCTCCACCCTAGTCCCTTAGTGACTGGCTCCCAGGTGCAGAGGTGGGCCCTGGGCAGCAGCATGCAGGCTTTGCCCTAAACGTTTTACAAAATCTTCAGAATAGCTTTGGAGCAGGCAGTGAGTCCATGGTACAGATGAGGAAAGAGGGGCCAGGGAACATCTGGCCAACATGTGCTAGAGCAGGGATCCCGTGGAAGGAAGGAAGAGTTCTGAATTTAGAGCTCCTGACATGAGCTATAAAAACTTCTTCCTATTAAATCCTGCTACCTAGGGAGCTCGAGAGCCAGGTGGGTCACCGGTCCCAGCTCCTCCAGCTACAGGCAGGCACAGGGCTGCTCAGGCAAGTGAGCCCAGCCCATTCCCCTCACCTTTGAGTGGATCTTCCAAGGTCCAGTCCAGCTGCAGGTCTGGGAACAGAAAGTACTGGGTCACCAATGGGACAGGGCGCCCCAGGAGGCTGCCTGGCCAATCCCAGCACCCCCCACCCCCTCACACACACAGAGCCAGGGCTGAGGGCTGAGTCAGGACCTGAAGAATGTCCCCAGGGAGAGAAGGAATTGGGAGAGCAGCCGGGGGAGGGCTTCCAATGCCTGCCTTTGCAAGCTTGGGCCAGCCAATGGGGCAGGGCCTTGCCCACACGCAGCTCCTCCCACCTGTTCCCACACATACACACCCTTTCCTGACCACTGCCCTGGCCACTATTCCTTTCCCTTCCCTTTAATTCTCAATCCCTTTGCCCGGACCCACTTTCGGTGTGCAGTAAAATCTGAGGCTCTCTGGGAAGAGCTACTGTCCAATTGGCCCACCAAAATACCCTTCTCGGGAGCCCATCTTCCTCTCTCTGCTAGGCCCACTCCTATTCATAGCAGACCATAACTGACTGAGCATCTCACCCAACTCTTACCAAGGATTCCAGTGACCTCCAAGACAGCCAGCTGAATGATCAACCCCAAGTTTTCATCTTGCTAGACCACTGGCAGCATCTGTCACAGCTCACCCCCTCCCTCCCTTCTCCTCTCACCTGGCTACAAGTAGGTAGGCTGCTGCTCTCTTGGTTTGTCTCCTCCCTCCCTGGCTAGACCTTCTGTCTGCTTAGCCGGCTTGTTGCTCACCTCTGAGCACCCATGGACGGTGTCTCTCCATCTCCCTAGATGATCTCGGCTACTTTAAAGATTTTATTTGTTTATTTTTTGTCGGTAGTCTGGAGCGTGAACCCCGAGCCTCAAGGTCTCACTTGGCTTTGGCTTCTTGTTCACAGCTGGCCCTCTAACACTTGAGCCATGACTCCTCTCTGGCATTTTGTCAGTTACTTGAAGATGGAGTCTCTGGGACCTTGCTGCCTGAGCTGGCTTTGAACACAGATCTTCAGATCTCAGCCTCCTGATTAGCTAGGATTATAGGCACAGCCACTGGTGCCCATCTACCTTAAGGATTTTAAAATACAGTTAGCTCTCTATAAGCACAAGTTTCATATCCAAGGATAGCTCTAAAAAAAAGTACACCTGAACTTAACATGTATCAACTTTTTCCTTGTTATTAGTCCCTAAACAGTATATATAGTGTAGCCACTCTATATAGCTTTTACTGTGTGTGCATGTGTGCTTGTATATAACATGCCTACACATCTCTCATCATTCCTGCCACTGTCCTGATCTAGCTTAGATTTATTTTTTGTCGGTTGTGGGGCTTGAACTCGGCCTGAGCGCTGTCCCTCAGCTCTTCAGCTCAAGGCTAGCGCTCTACCACTTGAGCCACAGCGCCACTTCCGGTTTTTTCTGCTTATGTGGTGCTGAGGAATCGAACCCAGGGCCTCATGCATGCAAGGCAAGCACTCTACCACTGAGCCACCTTCCCAGCCCCAAGCTTAGATATTTTTTTAACTTAAGAGGTTTAGTTGTTTCCCCCACCCCAGGTTAAAAAAAAATTATCTTTAAGTAGTTGTACTTTCACAAAGCAGTTTATAAGTACAATACATCTTGTTCAATGGCACCCCTTCTAGCCTAAAGTGACAGTTACATGGATGGGCCTTTTCAGTCTGAGCAAGCAGGGGAATGTCGCCTTCCCCACCATCTCATCTGCACGGCAGAGCCTTCTCTACCATCCCTGTGGCTCCTGCTCTCCTGCAGAGCAAAAAGCTGGAATCTTCATAATAGGCTCAAAGGCGAGTGTGTGAGCTGACCATGAACCCTCTCTGCTTCTTAGCCCAGTCCCAGGTGCCCAGCTGCTCCCAGCCACCAGGCATGCTTCTCCCTCTGGGCTTTGGAGCTCCCTCTGCTGGTAATCCTAGCTACCCAAGAGGCTGAGATCTGAGGATCACTGTTCCAAGTCACCCTGGCTTCCTTCACTCCCCAGGGCCAAGCTGCTCACAGGGGCCTTCCCTGACCATTCCAGAGGAAATCTGGCCTCTGTATTTTCATCCTAGGCCCCTCCTGCCATCTGCCACAGTGAAGGTCTATCTGGTTCTTGTTACATTTTTGTATCTAGAATCATACTCAGTTAAGTGCCCAATAGTCAAGTGTGAAGTCGACGGCGGGCACTGCTGCATTTGGGGCTGTGGAAAGAACTAATGCTTCACCACCAGGAATGACCACGAATGGTAGAACTGCAGCCTGGCAGGAATATCAGAGGGCTCCCCAACCCTCTGTGGACACTGTGACCACAGCTGGTGGTCACCCTTTATGGTACAGTGGTTTGACCTCAGGTCCAGGATGTTCTGGAGGCCACTGCTGGTCCCAAGCATGGAGGGTGGATAAGGAGACTCTCTTTTCTTTTCCTTGCTTTTCTTTCCTTTCTTTCTCTTTCTTTTCTTTCCTTCCTTTTTTCTTTCTTTTTTCCTTCCTTCCTTCCTTCCTTTTTCTTTCTTTTTTTCTTTCCTTTCTTTTTTCCTTCCTTCCTTCCTTCCTACCTTCCTTCCTTCCTTCCTTCCTTCCTTCCTTCCTTCCTTCCTTCCTTCCTTTCTTTCCTTCCTTCTTTCTTTCTTTCAGTTGTGGGGCTTGAACTCTTGGCCTGGGCTCTGTCCCTCAGTTCTTCAGCTCAAGACTAGCACTCTTAACACTTGAGCCATACCACCACTTCCAGTTTTCTGGTGGTTCATTGGAGTCTCATGGACTTTTTTGTCTGGGCTGGCTTTGAACCGAGATCCTCAGATCTCAGCCTCCTGGGTAGCTAGGATTACAGGCGTAAGCCACCGGCTCCCAGCTCTCTTTCTTTCTTTTCTTTTTCTCCTTTCCTTGGTTGCTTCCTTCCTTCCTTTATTCCTTTTTTTCATTTGGTTTTCTTGATAGGTTCTTCTATGTAGTTTAGGATGGCCTGAAACTTGAGATTCTCAGGTCTCTACCTCCTGAGTACTGGGATTCAAGCACCCCCACACCAAGGTAGACTATTTTAGGAACCACTCGCCTTAGAGCCCGGGAGTGTGAAGAATCTCATAAGCAGTTATGCATTTTTTTTTGCATTTTTTGCCCCTCCCTCTCAGGCTCTTGCTGCCAGAGTCTACTCTAGAGAGTGGGCTCCAGCAGGGGGTCTCACCTGGCATTTTCCGGTGAATCTGCTGGAACATTCGCCGATACCAGTCTCTGGGGCTGCCAACACTCTGAGATCAGAAAATGCAAAGTCAGGCCTTCCAGCTTGCCCATCCTTTCTTTTCCAGATCAAATCACAAACGGTTTTCCTTCGTGAGCTCTATCTCTGGCCACTTTGAACCCCTTGGGTAAGCTAGGAATGTCCCTTTGATGTCTGTATAGCTTCACGCAGCACGCCACATATGACTGAGACCCCCTGGAGGAAGGACTTCCAGCAGTGTATATGGCGACGATCTCTCGTGAGATTTGGTGTGGTTTACATGTTTTAACTTTTCTTTCCTCCATTTTTCTGTGTCTTACACTACAAGAACACGTATTTCTAGGTAATGGTATGTAGTAATATGTAATAACGTGGTGGGGGGCGTATTTCATCTCACCCACCTCACCTGGGCTTCCAAACAGTGCTGGAAGGCATGCAGAGAGCGTGGCTGGCCTAAGACATGAAGGTAGATAGAAGAAGGTAGACGGGAGGTAGAAGGTAGAAGACCTGAGGCCTTCTCATTCATAGCTACTTACGGGATTATAATGTTGTGAGAGCCCTGCCTGACCCTGGACATGCAAAACAGAGAAGGCTCCTACCAAGTTCAGTTGTTATGGTGGTCTCTCTCCACCTGTAGGACCCTGGTAGGATTCAAGAGCTAGACCTCCCCTCACTTGTGCAATTCAGACACCCAGAACACTGGTGACAAGGTTCATGATCCTCTGAAATGTACCATGGCTGAACCCCTTGCTTGGTGGTCTGGGGTTACAGTCTTTATGCCACACCCCATCTCACACATAGGAGTGGAACTTAGTAGTACAGATCCCTGCCTCGCCCCCATCTGCCCCAGCCTTGGACTCACAGATCGGGGGGCAATGGGCATGCCGCTCTCATCCACAGGCCCAATTCCTTCATACTTGACCCAGCGCTTGTCCCGATGTTTGTTGTCCCTGGTCCACGTGGCTGACCAGCTCTGGGCATGCTGAGAGGCAGGGGTCTTTGGGCTTGAAGAGGGCCGGCTCCCAGGGCCTGGCCAGGTCTGATACCATGCAGGGTCTGTGGGGGAGGTGCAGGAGAGCATTCGCTGAAGATGGATGGTTCCTACCTTTATTTGAAGCTGTGTTCCTTAGAACTTTGATCTCTGAGAGCTCAAAGTTTCAACATTTCCTTGTTTGTTTGAGTAGGTGATGTAGACTCTACAAATCTCTCCATCGACAAGCACCACCATAGGCTTCTGTGTATTTTATTTTGTGCAAGTACTGGGGCTTGAACTCAGAGCCTCATGTCCTCACTTGGCTTTTTTCCCTCAAGGCTGGTGCTCTACCACTTAAGCCACACCTTCTAGCTTTTTTTCCATTAATTGGATATAAGAGTCTCACCAACTTTTCTGCCTGGGCTGTATGAGATCCTCAGATCTAAGCTCCTGAGTAGGTGGGATTACAGTTATGAGCCACCAGTGCCTGCATGGTTGTTTATTTCATTTTTTTTAAATTAATTTTATTGTCAAGGTAATGTACAGAGGGGTTACAGTTATATATGTAAGGTAGTGAGTACATTTCTTGTCACACTTGCTACCTCTTCCCACTTTGTTTATTTCTTAAGCTAGATTAAAAATGGATTTTGTAGTTGGGTGGTCGTGGCTCATGCCTGTAATCCTAGCTACTCAAGAGGCTGAGATCTGAGGATTGTGGTTTGAAGCCAGCCTCGGCAGGAAAGTCCGTGAGATTTGAGTCCCCCTCCCCCCCAAGTGAGACTCTTACCTTCAAGTAACCATCAGAAAACCAGAAGTGGTGCTCTGGCTCAAAGTGGTAGAGCACTAGCGAAAGAGCTCAGGGACAGCACACGGGCCCTAAAGTTCAAGGCCCACAAGAAGAAGAAGGAGAAGGAGAAGGAGAAGGAGAAGGAGAAGGGAAAGCCGGGTGCTGGTGGCTCACGCCTGTAATCCTAGCTACTCAGGAGGCTGAGATCTGAGGATCGCAGTTCAAAGCCAGCCCGGGAAGGAGAGACTGTGAGACTCCTATCTCCAATAAACCACCAGAAAACCGGAAGTGGCGCTGTAGCTCAAGTGGTAGAGTGCTCACCTTGACCTGAAGAGCTAAGGGACAGCGCCCAGGCCCAGAGTTCAAACCTCATGACCGACAAAAAAAAAAAAAGAGGAAGAAGAAGAGAAGGAGGAAGGAGGAGGAGGAGGAGGAGACTGTGTCCCCCCCCCCCCCCCTCCAAATTTTCCTGGGACTCTTCTAAGTGTCTGCAAAATAAAGGCTGGAAATCATTACTTGAATTCAGACCCCAGCTCTACCACCTACTGGCTGTGAGACTTTGGGCACATCAGTCAACCCCTCAGGAACTCAACTTCTACTTCTGTAAGAGGAAAATAACTAGCAAAGACTCACTGGTAACTAGTGAGTGTTGCTGTGGCCAAGCACAGACCGCAGAGAGGACAGAAGCTCATTCCCCAATTATGGCTGCTAATCGTCAACTTCCCCAGAACCTTTGGCCCTTAAGTAGCTAGTGTAGCAGCCTAAGGGCTTCTACACAGATGGACCTGTAGTTGAAGTTCAGCTCAGCCTTAGCTACTGATCGTCTCTGAGATGCAGGCTCCTCAGTAATTAATGCTCATATTGTGCCTCTCTCCTAGGATATGGGTGGTCTACATGAGTCGAGTCTTGTAAAAATGTCTTTATAGAGCCTACATGCTGCAAGTACTCAATAATTACTTGGGTTTTTGTTGTTGTTATTTGTTTTTATGGTGCCAGAACTAGAGGAATTCAGAGTCTAGGCACTGTCCATTAGTTTTGTTGGTTTTTTGTTTTGTTTTGTTTTGTACAAAACTGTCACTCTACCACTTCAGCCACAGCTCCATTTCCAGCTTTTGTGGGGATTAGTTGGAGATAAGAGTTTCATGGACTTTTCTGCCAGGTCTGGCTTTGAATTTCAGTCCTCAGATCTCTGCCTCCTGAGTAGCTAGGGTTACAGATGTGAAATACCAGTTCCCAGCTAGTAGTTACTTGGTAGATGACTGAAGTCCCTCACATACTGTGAGTCTCAGGGTTGGTCTGTATTCAGAAGTTCCCAGGAGCTCAGAACCTGGGACACGGCTGACCAGTCCTCAAGCTACTGCTTTTACCTCCAGCTAGACCAAGTGAGCATAGATGGGGCAGGAGAGCAGCAGCTTCTTTTCCAGCCAACATTCCCCACCCTTCCATTCCCCACCCAGGCGATTCTCCTTGGCCTCAGGATACGTCTTCTGGGGAAGGAGGAGCTATGGCAGTCTGCTTCCTCCCTGACATTCCTCCTTCAAGGTCAGCATAACACACTGTGCAGGGGAGAGGCCCTGAGCCGAGCTGCAGGCCCTGGGAACCTTTGTGGCCTTGAGTCCCTGCACTTCTGCTACCCTCTCTCAACCCAATAGCATGGGATGCGAACGCCCACGGGACTCTAGTCCCTGCCTCCCACATGGGACTCACACAGCAGGTGCTTCTGAGTACACTCACCTGGGTGCCGTGAAGCATCTCTCCTTGGTGAGGTGGTGTAGCCATTGCACACAGTCCTGGGCGCAGGGTCGTGGAACTGGAAATTAAGGGTGTTGGAGCCACCATTCCGGATCACAGGCACCTGTGGGGAGGGGCCAGGAGCAGCAGAAGTGGCCAGGGATGACTGCCAAGGCATAGCCCACACCCCACAGTGAGGGATCCGGGGCCAGCCTGACCTGAGGGGAGCCATGGAGGCTCATGGGAGCTCTCTTCAGACTCTCTCCACCCTCTAATCCCTTCAGGCCTCTCTCTCTCTCCCACCTGATCTGCTGGAGCTCCCACTAACTGGGGGGATGCAGTCCACTCACCCGTGACCCCCGCAAGGTTGACCCTGCATAGGCCCGGAAGTGGCTGGGGATGAAGTCGTCCAGGCTGAGCTCAGCTGGCAGGCTGCTGGATGGGCCTTGCATGTTGGGGTCAAAGTTGGAGGGCTCCGGGTGTGTCAGCTTCTCCTTGGCCTGTCCTCTGCAAGGAAGGAGGAAGGAAAGGCTCAGCTGGACGGCAGTGCCTGTGCCCTCTTGGCTCAAGCCAGGGCTTGGGGGCGGAGGGCCTGGCCATGGGAGGGGGCTGAGATCAGCTGGGTGGGAGCTCAAGGACCCAGGAAGCAGGCCACTGTGGGCACCCGGCCCGCAAGCTGCCCGTGCCGGCTCCCAGAGGCACAATGAACTGCTTGTTAGGCCCTGGGCAGGAGCTCCGGGTGGGAGTGGGGGAGGGGAGGCAAGGAGTGGGAGAGGAGAGGCTGGGCAGGAATGGGCCTGTGGCCTGCTGGCCAGACCCTGGATGGCTCTCCCTGCCACTAGAGTCCTCTCCCCCCAGAGGTAAGGCACAAGAGCACTGTGCAGCTGGCAGAGGCGGCCTGGGCACACAACTTTGTTTCAGTTCCTCTGTCTCCCCCAGGCTCCATGTAGCATCTGCTTGCCTGAAGGGACAAGGAGTTACTTGGTCCCAGAGCAGCAAGGTCACCAACCCACAGCCCTAATTCCTACCAGGGCCAAGCAGCATGGGGGCATTCCAGGCAGGAAACCCACTCCCGAGCACAGGGCAAAGTGGGTGCCTTGCTGGCCATTTGCCCATAGCAGTGACCCAGCAGGGGCTGAGGGGACGGAGGGGCTGTAAGAGACATGGTGACAACAGATGGACATGCTCCCGTTCTGGAGTGGTGCTGAGTGCATGTCTTGGGGTGCTCCCCTGCACGTGTACACATACATACACACACACACACACGCACACACATGCACACACATGCATACACATGCACACACACACGCACACACGCACAACTTGCTGCTCCAGGCTCAGAGTTTTGAATGTCTAACAGGCCAGAGAGTCATTATAATAAGGTCAGGTCAGTGAAGAGAATTCCATACAGAAGAGATGAAGCAAGAAGTGAGGACAAAGGCCCGGAGGGCTGAGGGCTGGATCAGGGTGCTCCCAGGGTGGCTTTTGTATCCACAGAGCTATGGGCAGAACCTGTGCCTCCTTGCCTTCACTGATGGATTGGGTCACAGTGGAGCCAACTTCCAGAGTGTTCTAGACTTGGTTGAATGAGCCTCGTAGATAGGTGCTGGCTGTGGTGGCTGTAGGGCATGGCATGGCTTGGGAGGTGCTGTGTGTGCGTGTGTGTGTGTGTGTGTGTGTGCGCGCGTGTGTGATGCATACACTCGTAGGGTGCCTCAGGAGTCAGGAGAGCAGCATGGGGGCTGTGGATAAGAGGGGCGTCAACTGAACGCCAGGTGCAGTATATGTAGTAGCCAGTCATACGACAAGATAAAGTTGTGGGGACAGGAAGGGATTGTGGCAGCCACTTCCCGCTCAGGCCTGAGGGCTGGCAAATGCACAGAAGAGGCTAGAGCAGCATCTTGTCTCTGGTCTGCGTTAGTGGGGATTCTTTCTGGCACAGAAACAGCCTACTGGGGACACAGCTTTTCCAGGCCAGCCCCTGCCAGAGCCGAGGGCAGCGGGGAAACTGCAGCTGGAGGAGGGGCAACTCCCCAGCTGGATCCGATTAGGATTCTTACCAAACGCAGACACACCCTAGCCCTCCAGCTGCCCAGGCAGGGAAAGTGAGGCCAGACAAAGAGTGGACGTTCAGGAGGCTTGGGCAGCTTAGTCCTGGTGGACAGCCCCCCCTCCCCCGCCCGGCGGCCCCCTGGCTGACAAGCTTGCAGCAGCCCTGCCGTCAGCTGACCGGCCTTCCTTCCCCTCCCACCCCTCAGCCCCGACCACAAGGCGGCCTGCTGGTTTTCAGGGGGCTTTGGATCACGTGTAGGCGTGGGGTGGGAAGGTGATCCCGGGTGATCTCTGGGCAGCCCTGCCAGGAGACCTAAGCAACAACCTCTCAAGTAGAGACAGGCATGGTGGAGAACCGGTGACCTCTCTGTGGCACGGGAGAGGCCGTGCCAGGCACCCCTCGGGGCAGCTGGCCCCCCTCCGCTGGCCCCCCGCTTTCCAGGAGGGAGGAACTTCTCACAAGCCTCCCCACTTACAGCGCGGGACCGGGACCCCGGAGGAGGGGCCGGTGCCTTCCCGGCTCGCGTCCCACCCCCGGGGCGGCCTCGCCTCCTCCCCGCCCCTCGCTCCCGCCGGGCACCTACCTTCCCCAGCGAGCAGGTGGAGGGGCCCGAGGCCGCCGGGAAGGGCAGGGGCATCCCTGCCGCGCTGCGGCGGGGCGGGGTGGCCGGGAGAAGGGCGAGCTGTGGCGGCCCTCGTGACCGGGTCAGGACGCCGGGGCGGGCTGGGCGCCCGACGGGGAAGAGGAAGGCCGAGGGGGAGGCCGGCTCGTGGGGTCCGCCCGGCGGCGGGAGGAGTCGGCCCGAGCGGGGTGGGAGCGGAGCGTGCGGTGCCCTGGGCCAGGGCGCGTCGCGGGGACGCGGGTGGCCCCGCGCCCAGGGGGCCGGGCCGGCCGGGAGGCGGCGCCGGGAGAGGCTGCCGAGGGTCCCCGGGGAGCCCGCCTGGCTGCCCCGGCCCCCACCGAGGGCTGGCGGCGGGAAGGGGGCCGGCGAGGGCCACTCAGAGTTTCCAGCGACATTTCCAGGGTGTGGGAAGGGAAGGGAGCGGGGACGGGGCTGAGTGATTAGGAGGTTAAGTTCCGGAGGGTGGACTGGAGTCAGGCCCGCGGGCAGTCGGGCTGGGCCGGCGCAGGGCGCTGTCGGGCTGTGCGGCCCCGGCCCGGCCCGGCCCGGCCCGGCCCACCCTACCCTCCCTGAACGCCGGCGCGCACGGAAGGGCGTGTGCAAACTGCAAACCTGCCGATGCTCACGCGCGTGCAAGCACCGAGGGGACAAGCAGCGGAGGCTGACCCTAGGTAGCCGGCTCCCGAGGCGAGCGGAACAGCCAAAGAGGAGGAGGGTGGGGTCCCTGGGGCGGGGACGAGGTTAGAAGGGTCTTGGTGTTCCCACGCGAGGTGTTTGTTTTGATTTGCTGCTTTTCCGCTGTTCCCCAGCTGGGATGACCCAAGTCCCCCAAACCCCGCTCACTGGCTCCCCAAACACCAAGGCCCTCCCTCCTCTCCCCCTCCCTCTTCTCCCCCTCCCCCTCCCTCTAAGCCTAGGTGTGCACAGGGGCCTTTGACAGAAGGTGAGGTGCTGGATGAGTGTTTACTTTGGTCCGCCCCCAACACACCGAGCAGAAGGGAGTTTACATTTCAGATACCTATGGGGAATGATCAGTGATAAACTATGGAAATATGATCATTTTTATTGGATACCTGTTGGGTGTCCAATTGGTGCCTGAGGCTGCCATGCTCCCTTCATTTATTATTTTTTTTTAGCACATCACTCAACTCAAAAGTTAATAAGAAATGGAGAAAAGACAAGCAGTTCTCAGTACCTAGTACACTCGCTGCTTTATATTTGCCTAGTTTAGAGAAAAGAGCTGTTCTGGGGAAATAGCTGTTTGGGTGGTGTTGGAACAAGAAGGTATAGGTTAGAGGAAGGTAGATAGATCCAAAATGTCCAGGGAAGACTTAAAGTTTACATGGTTCCAAGCCTGCAGTTGTTCAATATTTTTACAAAGGCAATTATTGCACTGAACAGGGCTGAAGGAGATAACCTTTGAGGTTCCTTCTAAGCATCTCTAAGTCTCTAGGTACGCTAAAGGAATCTAGATTAGGAAATGGCCAGGGCCCCACAGGAAGCAGCTACAGGAGCTCAAGGACATTCACTGAGGATGGGCGGGAGTGGACTGCCCCGCCCCTGATGCTTGGACACTTGCCCAACCTTAGTACCAGCCCCTCCCCTCCCAAAGGAATAAATCTCTCCTCTGAGTTTTCCCACCTGTCAGGGTCCATGGCACTAAGAAGGGCCACATCATGTTCTTCCTTGTTCTCCAAAGTTGGTGAAGTTGAAGATCGTCCAACTCCAGGAATCCTGGCCATACCCCTCACCAGCATCGAGCTTCTCTTATTCTCTAGGGCTTTGACCTGGACTCCAAGATAAATATTTAATGGAGAGGGTGCCGGCTGAGCTTCCAAAGGTCCCAGCTTCCTGTTTCTCACAAAGGGAGAACTCAGCCGTGGGCAGGGAGCTGGGGACTAGCTACCAGTTTCATCTCTATGGGAATGGGGAGAGGGAGAATAGAGAAGGAGGGAGTCTTTCCCTCAGCTGCTTTTCTCCTCTCCTGTCTACTCAGGCCTGGGCCCAGCTGGGCTTACAGGTTGGAACCCCAGTGTCCGTTGGTACTTAGGTTGGCCACACAGAGGACAGCTGGGAAAATATAAGAAACAACAGATTTTTCTTTTTCTACCCAGATGGACAGAGAATTCCTCCTCTTTGAAAAACAGATTAAGGCTGGAAAAGTAGCAAGGTATAGTGATTCAGCCTAAAACCAGGTATCTGATTTCCCAACTCCTCCCCCTAGCTTCAGTTCCTTGCTGTCTTTCTGCTTTACAGCTGGCACTGCTTCCCAGTGGCAAGGCAGAACTGAGGAAGGTTGGCCCAGATTGCACGGCCCGGGTCAGCCACAGAGCAGACCATTTGCATCCCGTGTACTGTTCCCTTGTTCTCCAAAGATGGCCATTCCTCCCCACCAGACTGCTGCTTGCCCACCTCTTGACAGGGCCTTCTCTGCCACCTGAGCCTTAGTAAACACAGTTATGTAAGGGCTGTTTTTCCTAGCTATCTGGTTCCAGTCACCAGGATCCCCACCCCAACAGAGGCTGCCAACTTCTGTTCCGTGCACATTGCCCTACAGCTCTGCTGTCCTCAGCCACCACCCCAGGGCCTGGCTAGCCAAACGACTACTAATACATATTAGGGCTCCTTATGCAGAAGGGACCCAGATGGTAGTGTGTCAGCAAGAAGGAGAAATAGAGCATTTAAGTAGTTCTTTCCTCTCTACCAGGGAAGGCCAGGCCAATAGAGTGCAAAGAACTCAAGTTACTTCTCAAGTGGAAAAAGAGAAGCCAGGGATCCCCTAAGGCGAGTGTCTTTCTTTAGTGCTGGGGGCTGCCATTCCTATGAGTCACCCTGAGACCTCCTGGGCTCAGGCCCCAATTCCCTCTGCTGTCCCCTTTCTCCTCCCTGGGATTAACCCTGAGTTCATTTTTATTAAGGCTCTCAGAAGGGCATTTTCTTCCTGCAGACCAGAAGGGATTAGTCAGCTGAAACCAAGTCGCTGTGGACACAACCAGCACCAGATCTAGACTCTCTTTCATCCCCAGGGCCCCAGCCTTTCTCCTGGGTCCTCTCCTGATTCCAGTTCCTGCAGCGTTGCTGGCCAACTTCTACGGATGGCCCTCATCTGTGCCAGCCTCTGATGAGAACAGAGGCGAGCAGGGGAGAAAAGTGAAGTGACCCACTTCGGGGCATCAAAGGCCTTCCTGCACAGACAATGGCACGATCCGGCCCATCAGGAATCCAAGTTTTTTTGGTCCAGTTGCTGTGAGATGAGGGATCTCGGTGAGTGAAAAGAAACCCAGTACAGATCAGGTATGGGCAGCATGAAGCTTGGCAGCCAGTAAGTCTGTGTGGAACTCCATGGATGCAGAAATGAGTCTTTCATGTCCATCTGACACGCATCTTTCCACAGCACATGCATGATATAATAGGTATCTATTTGGGGCGCTCAATCACATCTAAACCCCAAAGGAGACAACTGTTTGTCCTATTTTCTCAGACTGTCCTCCAGGAAGCTGGGACCCTGACATCACACCCACCACTGTTCTGTCCCACTTTATGGACCAGCAAAGCAGCCATGTGTGTAGTTAGGGCATGTCTTGAGAACTGAGTGGGATGAAGCCCTTTTGGCTCTCAGGAAAGATGAGAAGAGCAAGCGACTGTCAGCCCTTTAGGAAGCTGACTTTGTAAGGGGAGGGTAAGTGGTAACTTCAGAGGGAAACCAAGCCAAGTCAACTCAGACGCAGAGAAGGCACAGAACAAGGCTGTCCTTCCCAGTTCAAGTAAACTGAGATTATGGAGACAGAGGGCTGATTGGCCGACCGGTGAACATCAGGAGGTAGTGCTCTGGCCTCCACACACAGAATAATCTGTCTTCCTGTCTGCTTGAATTCTGTACCAAACTTTCTCCTTAACTGCATAAACACTAAAAAGATGACTTAACTTACCCTAAAGTGACCAATTCACTGTCATTAAGTACCTTTTCTTTCTAAAATCTCAAAAGTTGTGATTGAAAAAACAAACCTTCAAAAAAAAACAAAAAAAGAGACCATCCAATGTAGTGGGTTACAAAGTGGCTGGGAATGTGGCTTAGTGGTACAATGCTTGCCTAGCAAGCATGAAGCTCTGGGTTTGATTCTCAGTACCACATAAACAGAAAAAGCCAGAAGTGGTGCTGTGGTTCAAGTGGCAGAGTGCTAGCTTTGAGCAAAAGCAGCTCAGAGTTCTAACCCCAGGACTGGCGGGGGAAAACAAAACAAAAAACAAAACACACAACAACAACAAAGTGGGAACTGCATCTAGATCTAGATGGGTCGAGTTTCAATTTAATCCTTCATTCCAGGCTCCTAAAACGTGCTCTGACTTTGTAAAGAAGGGCAAGTATGTCCTCTGCTTATTTTAGCAAAGGGAGAAAGGACACTGCTAACTCAGGATGCCACCAGGACTGGCAAAACCCAAACTATATACTCAGCTTTGGTGCAATTAGGAATCTAGGCTCATTTTGTCCTGTAAACTGTTCCATGGCCCTTAATGTGGCTGAGATAAAAACTGTCATCTGGGCCTGGCAATCCTGGATTTAGCCTTCCCACGCCACTGCCATAACCTGAAGAGTTCCTCCTCCAGGCCTCAGCACTTCCTTTTTTTTGGGGGGGTGGGGGGGTCCGGTCGTGGGGCCTCAACTCTGGACCTGGGTGCTGTCCCTCAGCTCTTCAGCTCAAGGTTAGCGCTCTACCACTTGAGCCACAGTGCCACTTCTGGCTTTTCTCTTTTTGCTTATGTGGTGCTGAGGAATCGAACCCAGGGCCTCAGGCATGCAAGGCAAGTGCTCTACCACTGAGCCACCTTCCCAGCCCCGCCTCAGCACTTCTTGATTTGAATCCACGGCACCTCACAACTTTTCTACTTTTCATAGGAATTGAAAGGCTGGTCTGGGCACTTCCTCGCCACATCTACTCCCTTCTGGCTCATTCTTTGACTTCTTTCAAGTTGTAATGCATCCACACCTATTGTTAGAGTCACATGCAGTTATTAAATTACTATAATAAAACCCTACTTTTAGCATTTGTAAAGACTATGGTTTCTGAATTGTCTTTCTTTCCTTCAAGAAGTGCTAAAGAAGTCATAGAAGGAAAGGGGCCTTTAACAGGAATTAGTAGTGGGCAAAATGCCAAGGT